TGTGTGTGTGTGTGTGTGTGTGAGAGAGAGAAAGAAAACAAACAGACAAAAGTAAAATTCAGAAAAGGTTGTAAAAGTTACAAGACTTGGCAAATGATTATTATACAAATTTGAATATTATAAAAAAGACAACCAATCAAACAAACACAAAACTAACTAATAAACTAACAAAGAACCAACCGATCAAGTTTTTGAGATTAACAATCAGATTTGTCGTTTTTAATATTCCATCATTTTCACAAGTGACTTCAACATTTTAACTTTAGAGGAGTAAAAATCAGAAACAGGATCTCAGGATGACCGAGAAAACCGTTAACGAGCAGCAGGGGTCAAAGGTCACATCACAGCTGTAAGCAAACATGATGCAGACAAAAGAAGAAGACCTCGCAGCACTTCATAACAAACAGTGTGAAAAACTTTCATCAGTTTATGGCTGCTGACATCAGGCAGAAAAAAGGACATTTATGAAACAAAAAGAATAAAATTATTACATAAAAATATTGAAACATTACAGGAAATAAGCTCTAAAAATATGAGACAGTAAAATAAAAAATGCTGATTAATGAAAAGGTAACAGTAACTGTGGACGAGCGACGCAGTGAGAAATACGTCGCCTGAAAGCCAAAAACACAACTATGAAACTAAAGCAGGAAGCATCACTGATCTGCTGTTTCATGGAGTCAGAGATGACTCGTCAGCGTCTCACTTTGTGTCTCGCTGTCTGAACAAGCTGCTGTTTACATGCAGACGTGATAAACGACGCAGACGTCACAGTAATACATACATGTTTTATAATAATTTCAAATAAAAGAAGTTATTTTAAATATTTATATTTAAAATAAATTAAAGTACAAATACTTCAATATTTTAAATATTGAAGTATTTGTACACATATCAAATAAACTTGTTACAGAAGAGTCCAGGAAAAGGAAATGAGATTTAAAAAAAGAAAGACTGTGCAGCAGGATAAAAATATGAAGTTAAAACATGTCAAATAAAAACAGAAATGTGTGAGATCAGGTAAGAAATGTGAAACAAAAGGAAAAAACATCAAATATAAAAGCAGAAAATACATGAAGGAAATGTGAGTTCATTACTTTGAACTGGAGCCGTTTCACTTAAAGAGCACAAAGGTTGCTGGTTCAAGTCCAGCCAGAGACAAACCTGCTCTGTGGCTTCACATCACGAAGCACCCAGTGACAAAGCTGAATAAATACGTGAGCCCACCTGAAAACATCGTTTTGTTGGAGCTCTGACCTGCAGTTATGTGTTTCTACCAGCAGATGGCGCAGCGCACTGAGAAAACAAACGGAGGGGATGATGAAGATGATGCTACAGCCTTTTCTTACAGGGCCAGATTCACCTGCTGAGCACACGCAGACAGCAGAACACCTGAAACACATCTCATCATGCTTACCTGTGGAGGTGAGGCCCCGCCCCCTGCTGGTTCAGAGAGAAGAAGAAGAAGAACTACGTGTTAGTTCTGGGAGGTCTGATGCTGTTCCCTGTGGTCACCAGCAGGGGGCGCTGATGACTCTTACAGAGTCAGAAGTGGGGCAGGAGGTGAGGAAGCAGAGTCCAGCTCTGTGCCGGCTGCTGATTGGACGGCAGCATTTGAAGGTCAAAGTCAAAGTCAAGGAACAAGGTCAAACACACACACACACACACACACACACACACA